CATAGTCTACGTAGGCTGGTCTCAAAATCTCGTCCAGCCTCATGAGAGCTGATATTGAATTTCTTCGCTAATAAATTAATAGTGGTGAGAGGTTAAGTAATCTAATCACTGACTTGCACGCCTATATGAGTTGGTTCCCAAAGTTAGCGGTCCCGCTATACGGGGGGCAGTGGAAAGATTTGCGGAAAGCGGTGAGGATATATTTATATATAACAAATTTCAAGAAGAGGTGTTTGTTTCCATATGTCTGTAGGAAGAGTGCGCTAGGAATTCACTGGGGAGCCAAGGGGGCGCCAGCCTGCAAAAGTTTGGGAACCACTGCCGGCGTAGTGGAAGCAAATGGCGTTTGGCACAAGAAGAACCTTACCGCGCTGCTAGCTTTCCCAAGTCTTACCACATTTTGTCGACTGTGCCACCTCCCCACCGTCAGCTGCTCCATTGAGAATACGAGGAGCTCCCATACGAGGAGGTTGGCAATTCATGAGTGTTTTTATTTTCGACTAGTACAAATTTTTGATTGAATAATAAGCTCGATACATGAATTCCATCATAGACTTTCATATCCAGAACAGCAACTTTGTTCCGCCAAACTGACCGATAAGCCCGGCTATCGCTGGAGCCGCCATAGTTGTCCTGGGGTGAGCTCAAACAAAATTCAAATCCCATCATGTTTATTGAATATTTGTGAACAATAGAAGATGCGCAATTACAAAATTAAAGTAAATCTTCTAATGTACATGTTACTCGATGTGGCGCACAACAGATAGAATGCTGAATTTACAATATTTTTTCATTAGTAAAGTCTCCATGCCAGGAAATGTGAGAGAAACTCCGCAGTGTTGCTGAGAACGAGCCCTTATTTTTAACTTTAGAAACAAGCATATTCCGCAACATCACAACCCCGCAGTATAGAGGGACGCTTCAAATACACGAACTTTCATGCCAGACAAACCAGGCCAATGCATTAGAAAATATATACAAAGCCTCATCAAAATTGGAAATGAAATCTAAATGTAACCCAGACCACGAATGACGTCAATAGTAAATAAAAGTTTAGCTCCTGTCATGTATTCACTCATATTTAATAGAACAAAAGGCACATTGCTAGAGCTTATTAGAAATGACGGAAGAACATTTAATGTAGTCGTCGATAGCTATTTTCTGATGCTTCTAAACATCTCTCACGTAAACAATGTTTTCTTTCAAGTGACACCAACAAATTTGTAAATGGAAAAGGCACAAAGAAATGACCTCATGTTCAACTACACACTAGTTAGTGATGGCTGCATACTTTTGTCAGGAACAAGTGGGAAAAACTTTCCCTGCAACATAGCCTTGCACCCAACAGCTTGAGTGCCGCTATCACAACCCCGAAGTCTTCTAGCGCCCTTATGGTAGCTTTAAATTAATGGCTGCTGATATGCCTTTGGAGCGACATTCAAGCCTCAACAAGCAAGAGGCGCCGGCTTTCTTTCATTTTCACACCACCCTAAACAACTGCAACAACTGCCATCTTCTAGGGACCATGAGCAGCTGACACCCTCTTCCTTGGTGGCAATGAAGGCCTTAGATCCACTAATCAATCTACTTAGCCTGACCCTTTTGTCTTAGAAGTAAGTGCACTTGCTTCTTTAGTATTTCTCCTACATCCACATAAGCCTTTACACGTGCATCTTAAAAAGTTTTCTGATGGGTGCCTGGTGAGTGAATGCTGCTACAACAACACAACAATGCTGCTTACACATGTGCTTTTCTATTCAAGTATAATTACATTTATATCATTGAAGGTAATTTTTCCGTAGCATGCTTGCGAATTTCAATTCCCATTTGCAGTGCAATCTTCATCACTTTCAGGTCACTGAATAGGTTTTTCTGTTGAATGCTTTCTGAGGAAATGTCTTTTCAAGGTCCCTTTTGTAGTGCAAGCATAATCACACTCACTGCACTGAAAAGGTTTTTCTGTTGAATGCTTTCTGAGGAAATGTCTTTTCAAGGTCCCTTTTGTAGTGCAAGCATAATCACACTCACTGCACTGAATAGGTTTTTCTGTTGAATGTTTTCTGAGAAAATGTTTCTTTAAGTCACCTTTTGTGGAGCAAGCATAATCACACTCACAGCATTGAATAGGTTTATCTGTTGAATGTCTGTGAAGAAAATGTCTTTTCAAGTCACTTTTTCTAGTGCAAGCATAATCACACACTGAGCACTGAATAGGTTTTTCCGTTGAATGTCTGTACATAAAATGAATTTTCAAAACACATTTTGTGGTGCAAGCATAATCACACTTGGAGCACTGAAAAGGCTTTTCTGTTGAATGTTTTCTAAGATTATGTCTTTTCAAGTCCCCTTTTCTGGTGCATCCATAATCACACTCAGAGCACTGAATAGGTTTTTCTGTTGAATGTTTTCTGAGAAAATGTGTCTTCAAGTCATCTTTTGTGGAGCAAGCATAATCACACTCACAGCACTGAATAGGTTTTTCTGTTGAATGTCTGTAAATAAAATGTCTTTTCAGAACAGTTTTTGTGGTGCATGCATAATCACACTCAGTGCACTGTATAGGTTTTTCTGTTGAATGTTTTCCAAGAAAATGTCTTTTCAAGTCCCCTCTTGAGGTGCAAGCATAGTTGCACTCAAGGCACCGAATAGGTTTTTCTGTTGAATGTCTGTGAAGAAAATGGCTTTTCAAGTCACATTTTCTGATGCAAGCATAATCACACTCAGAACACTGAATGGGTTTTTCTGCTATATGCCTTGCAAAAAAATGTTTTTTGAAGTTTCTTCTATCATCAGAAGCATAATCACACTCTGAGCAGCAAAACCTCTTCATTGATGAAGGCTTAAAAAGGCAACGCTTGTGCAGGTTTTCTTTGCAACCACCAGCAGCTGCAGGCACCAATCCACGCTGGGAAGACGCGCGCCTCGTGCGCTGCTTGGAGCTGGACGCCCCAGAGACGTCAGCGTCGCCAGCAGCGTCTCCTGATGCTGGTGCTGACACACCAGTGCCGCACTAATAATACAAATAGAGCAATAAAATATAGAAATACTCTATATTCTTTGAGATAGAGTACACATAAACTCTCTAGTAATAAACTATATTCTATTTTTATAACGGCCAGATTAAACATGACTTTCAAATCTTACTGAAACTAAAATATGTTATTTATTTCAACAGATCTTTAAAATTATAGCTAATATGTATAGGTACAAATTGACTTGTACAGAGTTGGTTCTGATTCATCCAAGGATAAAAAATGAGTTACAATTATCTGGCCTTAAATAAGGCCAGCAATTTTGGCTCTGCAAATTTTAGCATGGATGAAACCATGTTGTCAACTTTTACCCATGTTAATTTAGAAACATTGATTTTTAGTTTGAAAACTGATTGATAGAGACACTGTTTTGAAACTGATCTGTGTCACTGATCAGTGACACTGATTTTGCCACTGTTTTAAAAGATTCATTTCAACAGGATAATCTCAAACTTTTTCACACAAAAAATTTTCTCAGAATTACTGAGGTGAACATTAATAAGAATATTTAAATACATTTCACAGCTGGAATATGGATGTTGTAATTATCAAGCAGACCAAGGATAGCTTTAAGATGTAAGAACTATTGCTGGGAATCCAAGCAATACAGCTTCCATTGAGGTGGAGGCTGTATTACTCCTCCACACACAGCAGGAGGCTGTATTGCTCTATAATCAACACAGCCCCTTCTTTGTGGTTTTGATTACCCATTACATCATTTCTTGAATGTGGTCTCAGATACATAAGGTGAATGAGAATGTTATCTTTAATTCAACACACTCAACACAGATTTCCTCATTTTTTTACTCTGCATAGATGATTTGATCTACAATTTTGTGCTTAACTAGGGGAAATCAGAAGTTTTTCTAATTATTATTTTCAAAGATTGAAAATTATTGGATTTTACTTGCACAATTTACATTGATGAAGAACAGAGCATGTATTTCACGGATCATTAGCAGGGTTGGGCACACTTCTGCTAATCCGCTAACCGCTAATTACAAAACTACCTTTTTTCTTATCGGATTAGATTTTCAGATAACTTTGCAAACCATTAGCGGACCAATTAGCTTCAGCTAAATTTGGTTCCACTAACTGGCAGTATGATATAAGTGTAAAAGTCTCTTCTGATAGAAAATTCGCGTGTTAATATTTAATCCTAAATAACATTAGCTGTGTGCCACACTGATGGCTGATTATGTCAACATATGTACGTCAACCAATCACGTCTTGTGTTACTGCAACATATTGTAGTAGCACAAGACAAGATTGGTTGATGCAGCATTGAGAGGCTGATGTTCATCAAGGGCAAAAATCATCACCTCGAGGAGATGAAGGGCAAGCCAGAATGAGGGCAGTGTGTAAACCTGCTTTTACCTGTGTGTTATTATTTCTTACTATTTCTCATTCAATTAATACTTCCTTATTCTTTTAATAAACTGTATGTTGAATGACGTTTACTGCTGAATTTCATTTGTCCATTTAATTGTTGAGTGGCTAATCATCATTTGATCTTGGCATGCTGCACCTTTTTAGGAAGCTCCTCGTCAATGCTACAACATATTGAAAGTTCAGCTCTCTATTTCTGAATTTCAGAGTTTCAGAGTCCTCCCCAAAAATTAGGCCAAAGCTAAATTGACAGACTAAAATTTAGCAATTAGCGATAATTGAGCCAAATTTTTCGGTGCTTTTTGATTAAGCGATATAAAATCTAACTTTTCAGTTAACGTATTAACCGTTATCAAAGCTAACTTTTCAGTTAGCTGTGCCCACCACTGATCAGTAGTCAACCAATGACCAATTGTTTTATCCTCTAATAGAGAATAAAAGATTGCTTGGAGAATAATGGAAATTTACAAATAGAATGAGAATGGAGGTAATCCACAGAAATAATAGGTTTCCCAACTCCTCAAAACTTTTGCACAGGCTAGGTAAAAGACAGCAAATATTATATACCTGATTCATAAACAGGGTAGAAGTGTGTGGTGGTGAGATTTGGTTGGCATTGGGAGCCTCAACCTGAGCTTCCGTCTTACATGGCACCCAAGATGAGGGTGGAGGTGGGGGGCTGAGATGTTCAACTGAACAAGCCTGTAGCAGAAGAAAAAAAGAGGACAATGAAAGGTCTTGAAGTAATACATATTATTTGAAAGAAATTATAAATAGTTATCAATAGGATTCCTTTCTATTCATTTTTATCTATCATTTCTTAGAAGTTCTTGCTAACCTTTGATTTTATTTACTATTGAAATGAAGTAACAAGTTCAGAGATATCATCTTACAAAATTATGATTCTGAAAGCCTAACTAAAAGATTCCATAGATGATTGAAAAATGAAATATCATCCTTCAAATTTTTTCAAGAAGATATTTGCAGGCATGCTATATGCTTGCAAGGCATCCATTACCTCATCATACAGGAATGGTTCCTCCTTCACAGTTACATCCTCAGTCTCATCTCCAAGCTCCTCTTTGATGTTGTGTGCAGCAGCAACCATTTCTATGGCTGAAAAATAGGTTGATAGGAGCAAGACCTCACAAAGTATAATTAATTTCCCCAAATTAACAGATCTGGTGAGCTTCAGACAAAACGGTGAGATTTCCTCAGATATGAGGAGATGGAAATCTATTAGAGAATATATTTCTACACATTGAGACTAAATCTCATGGGGCAACTTCACAGAAACTATAACATGCAAAAAATAAGATAAGCAGAAATTACACAGAGCAATAGACAATTCACTGCTGCATTTTGATAAGTGAAGAGTAGGTCATAAATAAATTGACTTACCTTCAGACTTGACTTTGCCCGCACCAGGAGACACTCTATTTAGGCTCTGCTCAGGACAGCTGCCCCTCCTGACTGCATCATCAGCAAGTTGGTGCAGCACAACGCAGCATTCTTTGGTAATGGATGCCATCTCCATAAATGGTGATCATGAGTCAATGCAGTTTATCTTTTAAATCTATCAACTTTTTTAGCAAAGGTACAAGCACTGGAGGGAATGTATAGAAATAGATAGAGGCTCAAAAGATAGACCTCAATTCCAACAACTGCAATAAAATTCAACTGGCTCACGTTAGCTTAAGCACCTAATTATTTGCTTGTTCCTTGTTGCATTGATGATTGCAGATGGACATATACACCCATAAAATGGAATGATTCAACTAATGTAACTGTAACTTGGTGAAATTTAGTTAATAAATACTTAATTTTATTGAATCATACTTAATAATGAGTTAAGTAGCATGATTTGGTATGGAACATATGAGCACAAAAAATTTCAGAACATTTCAAGTGAAGTCAACTGACCAATATTTGGTCAATATGATCTTCTCACCAACAATTAGTGCAAGATATGTCAAAAATTTGCATACCATTTGGTCAAGATATGCGTATAAGGTTTCCAAATTTTCATGAGATTTTTCCAACTCACAGCACACTTACTTGAATTTTGCACTTTGTCAAAACTTTGTCCAAGTTCACATATACCAATTAATAAATAAAATTTCAAGTAATAATCTAATGTAGGTACCTATCCAAACAAATTTTCTATTTCTTCATTTTTCCTGCACTATAAAAATGGCTACATGTCCAGTGAATATACCAAAGGAATTGAAGATATGCACTTGAATACTCCTAATAATTTCATTGCCAGGCTTCAGCCAAACAATCACACAATTTTCAACATATATATAGAACAAAACAAAACTAATATTCTCATCTAAATCAAGGAATATGAAGCAGGTACAAATGATTTGATACAAAATTTCCAATTCAAGGATTAGAAAGAATTAATTCTATCCCAAGTTATTACCTATATATAGTTGAGTAAGATGGAGGAAATGAGGGGAAAACAAGAATATATCCTGAGCGCATGAGAGCAACTTTAGCACGTTGACAGGAACACTGCCAGTAAAACAGCAGAGTCTGAAAGAAACCATATTTTACTATTTAACCCAAAGATGATATTTTAATTATCCCATAACTACATTTTATACATTTATATAGATTCGCTTTATATTTATTATTTACTTAAATACGAATATTCATATAATCAAAGCTACCTCTATGATTTCATATGAAAGACATTAGAAGCTTAACAATTCCATTTTATGCCTTGCTATTTCATAAGTCACGGCCAAAATTAATTAGGATTATTCAGAAATTTTGGATTCATTTGGTGTGAAGATTTTTTTATGAACAAACCATTTTTAAAATAATTGAAATTTACCCCAATTTTTTGTTTATGGATGTAAATGGCTAGGACAGTTACCTTAATTATTAGTTCAAATTGTAACTTTCTAAATTCCTTAATGAATTCTCAGTTTTAAACAAACTTTCAAAATTTGCTGGCAAGTTTTTCCAAAAAATGGTTAGGGCATGGCTCTTGTCTTGGTTCTATCTATGCCAATATTTACATATGCTTTCACAAACTTGCTTGGCTGGCCAATTGTCCAATTGATTTGAAGCCAATATTCTACCTAACTGATACATAAATGTCATCATTCCAATTTTTGATCATCTTCCTCATGTCAACTTAAATTTAAATTGTCAAGTCCATCCAATTCACCATAGAGCTTTGATCAAGGCGTAGATTGTCATATAATCATATATTGACTCTAATGTTACTAATCTAATAATAATTTCAACACTTTTGTTTATCTTCTGTTAGCAATACTTATGTTTATTGGTTTAAGCAATGGCTTGTTCAGCTTTTGTAACATTTGCCTCCAGTTGGATGAATTTTAAACAATAATTCATTGCAACTTTTCAACTTCATCTACATTTCGTGTTATGTAATCCCACATTGAATTTATGTGCAATATCTTCTTGCTAAATGGGTTTTTGTAACAACTGTTTTTTACCCAAATCATGAAAATCATAACAAAGCTATACAATGATATTTTTTTAATAATGGAAATATTTAGTACTAAAAATATTTACTGAAATACACATCAAATAATAATCTTCAGGTTTTATTGGTGAATAATTTTAATATCACTTCTTCCAATATGAAGACATTTCTCCTGTGCATTTGTGATAATTTCTAGTTCATAAATACTATTGTACAAAATGTGCTTCAGCATACACTGGTATGGCATTCACCACTTCATTTAACTGTACAATTTCACGCAAAGTGATGTACGTAATGTCATATAGCGATTTAAAAATTTTTGGTTCATATAATAGTTAAGAATGTTAACCAGACTCCTGCTTCTGGTATTTCTGTATTTCAGACAACAAAAGACAATAACTTTTGTCCCAATGAGGGATAAAAATTGGGACAACTTTTGAAATCTGGGACAATACTGAGATGAGATGTCCTAAAACCAAATATGAACTATAAAATTTCCTCCTATTTACATTTTATTAACAATTTAATCATTTCACATTCTTCATTATGCAAAAAGATACTGCTAATGTCCATCTCTTGAAAGAGAGCAAATTTAATGGGCCAGAGAAAGCCAGCTTTCTCATCAATACAGCCATCCTTATCAATACAGCCATCCTCATCAATACAGCCAACTCTTAAGGTGCATTTCAAAGTTTCCAGTTGTAACAGATTTTTTCTCTGCTTAATACTATTACTAACCACCACTAATTTTAGAATAATAATACCATTCTATAACTATTCTAAAATAATAATAATCTAAAATAATAATAATATAACCATTTGTGACATCAATTCCAGCCGACGTAGTGTGGAATTCTATGGATGGAAGTTAACTTACAAGAAAGCTTTACTGACTATAAAGGACAAGGAGGATCATAAGTGGACAAGCTGTTTGAATTGTGTAGTACCTCAAATTTGTTATAGAATTGTTTAGTTGTCTCTTTTTTGATTAATCTTTTTAATTTTTCTTTTATCTATTGGATTATTTGAAAATTTTCCAGACCATGTTTGTAACGCTTGCGTTTAAGTCAGGTAGGTATAAGTTAAGTTAGTTTAATAATCAAGTTAATCAGTACACATACCATACTTGGGCACAACCAATTACAGCTGGGAAGGATGACACACACAATTCCACCAACCAATCACAGCTGGAAAGGGATATCATCATTCATCACTAATGATTGATATGTACCTATATAATGGACTGAAAGTGGAAGTTCCAGTTATTTCCGAGCTTTCAGGTTCTGCTTTCCCAAGTATCAAGTCCTGCTTTAATATGCTATGTGTATTGGTTAATTTAATACCTCTCTAGAATTCCACAATATGTAGCAGGGTAGTGTTCAGAGGCTAAGAGCAAATGGCGGTCAGTAGCTCAGTAGCTGGTCATGCGGCCAACCAATGGTTGCTTACTTCATACTTGTATGTGAATGAAGACAGCTAAGATTTATGTCAATTATCATGTAACAGCTAACTTGTATCCAACTTGTTTGTCTAATTCCTTACAACTTTTTATCAATATTTTTTACTCTTGCCGTTTTATGATAGCACAATACATATATTCATCAACAATGGCTACATTGAATTTTTTTATTCATTTCTGAATAAGGCTAAAAATATCTCATTCACTGAGTTGAAACAACAGGCCACATCAGGCCTACATTTCAGCGCCGACATCATTATGAAACATTATAGTTTTTTACTCTAAATCGTTTTCTATTCGTTGTCATGTTCGAGTTCATAGAAAACGAGTGCGAGGACAAACTCCAGCATGTCGTAGTCGTCAACGTAAGACGCACGGGACAAATCAGATTATCTGCACCGCATCACGACACGTTTTCAAATATTACAATGGAGGGGGGACTTAATTCATGACAGCCGAGCGGTCACCAAGAAGGCCAGTCGGGCCCGTGGGCCGTGGGAGGCCTTCTTGCAAGTGTTTCCTCACGCCACTAACCTGGGCATATACTTTCAAAAAAAAAAAAAGAGATCGTAAGTTCATCAGCCAATCATTGACGGCCTCTCAAGCAAAATCCACCAATCATAGACAAGAAAATAGAGCGTAAGTACTTACGTTCACTTAGCGAGTTTTGAAAGTATGGCCCCTGGTCACAGCGTTTAATTCGAACATTAAACTAACTATGTAAGCTTTAATTAGCGCAATGAGCAAAATAAAATGCTCCTAATGCTACATTGCCACGGCCGATGCGAAGTATTGGTGGTTTAGCTCTTGTAAGGAGATCGTTGTAATGCGTTCGAGTCCGGCTGCGGTATTATACGCTGATATACGCTTATATTATATACGCAATAAATAATACGCGCTATTGTACGCTGTATATATTGTACGTGGCAGTACGCGGTGTCGTTACGGAAATTCGAATTTGTACGCTATCAAATATTTCCCAAACCCAGTGGTAACAGTTTAGAGTACCAGGATTGGAGCAGCGAGGCGTGGGTTCGATCCCAGCTTCCTGCGACAGTTCTGGTCAAGTCGTCTAGGAGGTCGGGTGGTTGAGCAAGGCAAAATTGGAGGAGTGGGTTGCATGTTCGAGACCGGCAACAAACTGTGAATGTTCGGCGATATTGACAATCAGCGACTCGCCACTAGTTCGGCTGACTCTACCACTGTGCTCTCTGCTCTGCCATTATTGCCCTCAACAACGCTGTTATGTACTCAATCTTTCAAGAACTGAACGCGTCGCAGCCTGTAGAGGCTATTTTAGCCCAACGTTTAAATCAGGGATGTTAAATCCTTCATCACTTTTCTTTAGGCCATCTGGGCCCCAAAAAGTCTATTTCGAATATTTATGACATCCTGCATATTAGCACAAGTTGAATTTGTGTGAGGGACAAAATTCCAACTACTTCTTGATAAATTCACTTAATAATCTCATAATTATATATGGTGATTATGAGATTATTGCATTAAAT